TACAAGTGCATAATTTATTAACATCATTTATCTTTAATAGGTTTTTATTATTAGTATATATAACGCACCATAGTTGAAACCAGCTGCCTAAAGACATTGAAGTCTTGACAACCTGTTGCCCAAAGACATTGAAAATCTTGACAACTTGGAGGCTCTTTCTACACGTGCATAATTTACTAACATCATTTATCTTTAATAGGTTTTTATTATTAGTATATATAACGCACCATAGTTGAAACCAACTGCCTAAAGACATTGAAGTCTTGACAACCTGTTGCCCAAAGACATTGAAAATCTTGACAACTTGGAGGCTCTTGCTACAAGTGCAAATTTATTGTAAAATTAAATCATAATTTAAAGTAAACATGAGTTATCCTTAATAGGTTTTTAATTAGTATATATAACACACCATAGTTCAAACCAGCTGCCTAAAGACATTGAAGTCTTGACAACCTGTTGCCCAAAGACATTGAAAATCTTGACAACTTGGAGGCTCTTGCCACAAGTGAATAATTTATCGTAAAATTATTATTTATAGTAAACATGAGTTTATAATCTTTATGATTTTGTTATTACTCAGTAACACATCTTAGTTTAAACCAGCTATCTAAAGTCATTAAATCTCGACAATCTGTCACTATGAAAGACATTGAAAATTTGACAAGCTAGAGGTTTTTGCTACATTGCCACCCCTCCCCCCCCCGCCCCAACCCCCGGGCGTGAGAGGGCGTGCTGACGTCATGGGCGGTCAATGTCAATATTAAATTTTTAGTTATCAAAAATATATAACCTGGAGTTTGGAGGTATTAGTGTCGTGAAAAAAATTCCCGTCTGCATGCAATACTGTAGTCTGTTTAATAGATAAATTTTTTACCCCAAAAGTGGACGGCCGTCCAACTTCAAGTTGAAATTCAATTCTCCACCATTATTCTGTCGAATGCACCAGGCTAATACCTATGTCAAGCTTACTTGTCCTCCTTGAGTAGGATCAGGCGTCTTTTGCACGGGCTGGTTATTTCGCTGGTCGATATCCGAGCATCATGGGTTTGATATTTCCGCGGGAATCTTGGCTTTACTTTGCTTCAAGCAAGCCGCGCTTCGTAATGATGTAATTTTGCGTCCTGGTGTATTAATTTCAGCCTACGAGCAGGCTATGTTTAATTAGGATTCCAGTGTTGGCACAATGTAGTCTACATAAATCGTCGTTTGATATCTTCTCACACAAAATGTCTTTGGTAAAATTAGCGCCAAATTGCACCAGTGGAATCGCATTCACAACGCGTAACATGACCTTGACGCGTAACATGGCTTGATGTTCAAGAAATCCTCGTTCACTTTACGCAGCCTGAATGCCATTACCAACCATGTAATTTCCATTATATCACTGCTTCTCCTTGGTCCCTCCTATACTGTACGGTTCTGCCACAAACATAGTAATGTCTGACTTATTGAATTAAATCATTTAAATGAATTTCGTCAGACAAACTCTTGAATATCTCTACACCTAATCGTGCCTTCGGTTTGACTTGAGATTACCGTCTATTTTACTATTGTATCGCCGCATTCTTAAAGTTTGTGGTGGTTTTATATATAAGCTGCGCCATGGCACTCTTGGCAGACAATTAAGCTTCGCTGTGTTATTGAATTTGGCGCGCTAACGCTGTTTACTCAGTTCTAGTTACGTAGTGTAACAGAACACTGATACAAAAGCAACATTTTAACTATTTACATAGTTATATATTACAAAATGTCTTCCTACAGAGATAAAATATCACACCAGCTTGCCTAATTTCGTCACAAGCAAATCAATTTACTGTCATCAATCAGGCACATTGAGCAGTATACAAACACCTCGAGACTTAATTTCTTCACACATGTGCGGGTTGTAATGAATAGACAATTATGTGTGCTTTTAAAGTAATCTCATGCCAATATACCAACAACCGTGAGCATTCTCGTGCCAATACACCAACATATTTTGTAATGTACTCTGATGGAATTACCATTATTCTCCCACTCTGGTAACTGCGACACCATCATATTTTTCAGCTGTCGAAAGATGTGGTATTAAAGCATCAGACCTTGAAGGAAAGCCAGCATTTCATGTTATATTTAATAAATTTTTAAAATGGCTGCATAATCTTCTGAAAAGAGTTCGTCAGAAAACTGGGGACAGTTATTTTCCAGGTATGTCTTGTACTTTGCCTGTCATTTGCATCTGAGGGATATAAACACTTCAAACTAATACATTATTCTCATATAAAACGTTTATGTTTCCCAAGAGCATTTGAGAAGATTCAATCTGATCCAGTGGCGAAGCTAGTCATGACAACTGGTCATGCTATGCTAATAAATCTCATGAATAGGTTAAAGACAATACATTTCTAAAGGTTTGAATAATGCAAATCATTAAAAATTTGCATAGCATCACCTGTTGCTATGCTAGCTTTGCTACTCATCTGATCACCAATATTTAAAGATTTACCTAATATGGGCACCATGGCTCAATATTTTTTAGTGCCCACTTCATAAAGTTGGGCACACACTCTCTACAGAGACGGGGGGCACAATGTCAGTCTCTTGCCACTAAGAACAGGTCACAGTTGCCCCAACAGACATACCTTTTCAGGGGTGTTAGCCAGGTTGGCTCTAAAAGATCTCCATTTTTTTCAAGTACTTTAATAATAGAGCTGGAATTTTCCCCATATTACATATTGGCCTTTATTTGCATAATATTTTGGGCACAGCTGGCATATAATTTAGGCATTCAACATCATGTTGAGCAGCCCTGAATTAATATCATAGCCTTATGACCAATTCAATGGCTGACCTGCTCATTGGTAGTCTGTGAACCCAGACGTCATTTCCCACGCTTATTCTTCATTTGGAAAGTTACTTTCTGAACAAAGAATGAGCGTGGGAAAGGACGTCTGGGTTTGCAGACTGGCTGAGCTGTCTGAAATATCTTCAAATGCTAATGCATTGACATTTTGTATGATCATACACAATGTCTTATTTCAGGTGTTTATCCTTACATGCATAGTTGTTGAATTCAGTAGTTGGTGTTTGCACTCTTCTAAAACAAGGGTTTTTTTGTTGCAGTATTGTGTGCTCATAATGGATATGGGTTTGATTTTCCGATATTACTCAGTAACATGGAGAGATGTGGGATGAAAGAACATGTTTTGAAAAAGATCAACCTGCATTTTGCCGACACATTCCAGTTCTGCAAAGAGGTCAATTGCAATCTTAATATGTATAGTTATGGCTTGAAAAATTAAATCCTTTGTAGTTAGTGAAATTTTATAACATATTTACCTTATAGTTGCAAGAAGATCATCTTATAAAAGAACTTCAAGAAACAAAGTTATCAATGGATTCACTATTCTCAAAATTCTGTCCAGGAAAGCAATTCCTAAGTAAGTCATATTTCCAATCAAATTTAATCATTAATGGATTAATAATTCATTTTAATTTAATTAATTAGTTTTAGTTATAATTATTTAAATAATTAGGTGATGAAGTTTTGTATAATTAAATCATCAATTTTAGATCGCCATCGTGCTATGGGTGATGTCAATGCAATGGTAGAAATATTTTCTAAAGAACCATTCAAAACTGCATTTAATAATATTGATTATGCAACATCTGAGTCTTTGTAAGTTTTGTTAAAGTCTTTTAACCTTGTTGTTTGTTGGTTTTTTGGTTTTGTAGCGCTACTGTTGTTGTGGTTTGTTGTTGTTGTGTTTTGTTCCTGTTTTTTTGTTGTTTCAAATTTCATTAACTCTAATTTTTTTATTTTAGATGTGAATGGTTTACGATACAGTATAATGAGAAGGAACAGCGAATTCTACTTGAAGGTAATAGTTAATTTTTTAGTTTCACGTTTGCCAGAAAAATTGTCTGTTTTCAGAAAATATACTGTATCAATTTCTTAATTTTGCATGGATTTTGCGTTACAACGAAGCAACATATAATGTTATGTTTAACTTTATTTCAAAATAATAATCAAACCTGTCACGACCTGCAGCTTCTTACTTCCCGAAGGCTGCCTCGTTCGCATGCAAAGCCACACCCATGAGAAACACGTGGCTCATACCACGCACATGTGAAGGCTGATCGATCCAAGTTTGATGATTCCTGTGTTTTTAGAAAAAATGGCGAAACTTGATGCGTACACGAGAAATGTGTATTCGAAAAAGTTATTTCAACTTCAACTCACTTACGATGGACTTCAGGCTATTTTTGAAAATTGTTGTTCGTATATGGATTTTTACGAGGTCCTACAGGATCGTGGGATTGATCGGAAAACAGCCAAGCATTTCGCGTGTCAGTTTGGGAGCATGGGACTGAGGAACCAAGGAACTGAGCCGTATTGTAATCTTCCGAAATCAGCGGTAACTGGCGGTGAAGAACTTGATTACAGTCTTGATAATGTGGATCTATTGTTGACCAAGGAGGAAACTGAAAGACCTCCCAATGTACCGCCAGTACCGTCTGTCGATGATGGGATGATGTGCGAAAGTACGGAGTGCTGGGATGATGAATTAGACGAAAGTCGTAGCTTTACTTTCACCATACCAAAACATGTCGTTCCATTGAGTCTAACAATTGATGATTTTGTTTCTAATTCACCTTCTAAACAGTCAAAGACCTCTAAACAGAAGGGAAAGAACTCTTATTCGTCTAAACAGAATAGCAAGAACTTGCAACATCAGAATAGCAAACCAGTTCATGAAATAGAAAATGTAAATAATGGAAACAAACTTGGTGACCTGGCAGAAACAAAGAGCACCGCGAAATCTAACACAAGGCCTAACGTGTCCAGGAAGAAACCAGATCCTGCTGATGTTTTCAGAAATGGAGCTTCTAGTTTACAGGTTGGAAAATTTCCTGACAAAAAGGAACGTTATGAGTTGGAGAAAGAAGTATTGAATCAGATTGGAAAGGTTAATGAAGAAAATAATTCAGAGGAAGATGGAATTCGGAAACAAAGCAATTACGTGAAGGAGACGAGTGTTGAAGACATTCCCAAAACTTCTGAAATATTTGGTGCTGAATCTACAACTCCTACAAATTCGGAACTTCTAAGAAATGAGGGAAAATCAACTGCGAAAGAGACATCTCAGAAAGATGGGATGAACAATAAGAAGTTTCCAAGAAAGTTTGTCCGGAAAACGATGAAAAAATCCAGAAATAACAAGAATTCTTATGCACACAAGCAGTCCAGCTCGGGTAGTGTGCAAGGAAATACTGCTGTCGTAACAATGAAGAGAAATAATAATAAACAAAGCGAAGAAAGTTGTGAACATGAAATGACCGCTGATGAAGAACCTGGTGTTGTTCCTTTACATGAAAAATACGCTTTGAAAGAATCTGACGTTAAGACATCGCAGGAAAACTCTAATGGGCAATTAAGTGGTTCGTTAGGTGTGTCTGCAAGTGGAAATGGCGAGAACTTTGCGTCCGTTGCAAGAAATGACGTGATTTCAAAAACTGCTCAAATTGACGCATCGAAGAATCCTGTGGGGAATAGACCAACAAGTAAACGACAGCACAGAAAACAAGATGTGGTTAAAGACAATTCTAGTGGATTGAAAAAGGAAATATCTAGTAATAATGTGACCACAAGGGAATCCTTGGTTAGTCAACGTAATCAACCTGTAGCAGATGAAGAATTCAAGAGTTCAAATGGCGGCAAACTTCCCTTTAACACACCAAAAGATGTTTTGAAAGAAAATCTGAATGAAAACAAGTCAATGTCCAATTCTGAGTCTCGAAAAACCTCTCTGAAAAGAAACCAAGCCTCAACTTATCAATCAAACTATGATTTAAATAATTCTCGATTAGTTTCTCAACAGCAAACAGCGGAGACAAATGGTGTGGCAAGTGAACTAGTTCAAAGCGAACTCAGTGAATTGGACGGTAAAAAGGATCAAAGAAATGATAAGCTAGTGTTGAAACGAGATAAGCAAGTTCCAAGAAGGAGTAGAGAAATACGAGAAAGAAACAAAGAATTTGCAGTATTGCAAGGGGATAAGCAGAAAAATACTGAAAAGGAAAACATTTGTCACCAAGACACGACAGTGCTGGAAGGAGATACGGGAATTATGAAAAAGACTGAAGTAATTCATGAAGGAAACGTTGGACAAAAAGAAGCTACGATTTTGGTTCGGAATAAGAAAGATCAGAAAAAGAAAACAAAGTTAAAAAGAAAACAAAATCGTCAACCTGTTGTCTTTGTTAATCGTAAGTCTATAGAAGAAAAGCAGAAAAATTGGCCAAGAGTTGAAATATTTGTGGGAGATTTTCCTATCCATGTTCCAGTTGAGCCGAGTGCTGTTTGTCAACTGCAAGATAGTCGTGCTGAAGAAGAGTCTGATCTCAATGCGGAATCTAAGGAGAAAGGAAAAGATTCTTGTGGAGAACTTGAAACGCAACCTGGTAAAAGTGAACAAGTATTGGACAACGTCAGATCTGATGAAGGAATGAAATCTTCCCATGTTCAGGTTACCAACGATGACAGTTCAATCGAAAATTCAAACCAAGACCAAAGCACGTTAGAGCAGTGTGATGGTGAAGCTGAAAGGAAGGAAGGAGCAGAAAGCATAGTTACAAGTGAATTGCACGATGGTTTGATTCCTGAGGATAGTAATGTGGGTTCTATGGTCCAGTCGTCCAACTCAGTTGCTACTTCATCTAAACTCGAGTGTAGAACTTCGTCAATTGATCAGGTTTCTAATATTCAGCTCCTTCACACAAGTGACGAGATACCAGTGAGCACAGCAGTTAAGACGACTGATTCTTCACAGCAAACGGAGTTAGACATTGATTGGTACAAAGGAAAAGAACGAAAGAAACTAGTCGACCAAGAGCAACAAACTGACTGTGCTTTACTCAGTACATTTAACATTGAAACGTCTCTCAGCCTTGTACACATGCAAGACAAGGAGACCCTTACTGACCATCCTGCTTCCCGCCGTGCTCAATCCACCGATACCATTTCATCCTATGGTGACAATCTATCTGACTCGTACGGAACCTCTCCTTGCAGTCCCCTATACGATACTGATTCCCAATACGATATTAATACAGAGGTATTCAATCGTCGGGAGTACGAAAGTCCTGCTGGAGTATTTGACATTTCAATGTCACCACATCATGACGACAGATACCTGAAGAAAGACAGCCCCTACCCGGAGAGAGATACCCAATACCCGGAAGAAAATACTCGACACCCGGAGACCCGGTATTTGGAAGAAGATACCTGGTATCCGGAAGATGTTACGCGATATGAGATTCCTTCCCCAGAGGGAAATTATGAATATGATGGCTTCTTCTATGCTCGTAAATATCAACGTATGCCTCGCGCTGACCTTGACTGCAATATTTCAAGTAATTCGAATATCATGCGTCAAAGATTCCCTACCCACCCCTGTCCACCTGTACCCTCACCAATTTACCCTGCAAATCCTAACCATATCCCTGCAGCACCCCTGTTTCATCACAGATTCCCCCAACAGTATTTTCAAAGACTTCCCGGAAATACTTCAAATTTTTTACCCCATCAATATCATGGTTCCTTTAAGTTCTGAGAAAGAATGGTCATTTGAACAAACCAGACTGGAAATAGTGAACAATAAATCGTGTGGTTTGGGTGTGTGGCATTGTTCGGTTTTGTTGACACATTCTGGGTTTCCCCAAGAGCACACTTTGTAAACTGTTATGCAAACGTTAGTATTTGGCTACCTTGTGTATTGTGGTGGTGAAGAAAGCGGTATTGCCTTGTGTTGTTTGTTTCATGCGGTGTTCTTACCTCTTGGGTCACTGATGTTTTTCTTTACTCATTGCACAGAATGGTTTTTCAATGGTTTTTGAAAATTTACCATGTTTACTACTATAGATTTCCTATGTGGTAAATTGGTAAAAAACCATGATGTTTAGTATTTACCATTAATGGTATTTTCCTGGTCAATATTAACATGATGGTTTTTATAATTTACCATACGCGGAATCTGTAATAACCAATAATGTTAAGAGTTCAGTTTTTACATTCAAAAATCCATTAAAGGGTATTGGCAACAAAAAATTTTATTGCTTCATCTGAAAGAGCATGGAAAATAAGCCGATTGGCCGTTTAATGCTCTATTCTATCTCATCTAGTTCCGAAGTTATACGCAAAAATGTGCAAAATATAAGTTGCTGATTCAGCACAACGTGTGACGTCATTGGTTGGGTAAGTATGTTTAATGAATACTAAACTGAAGCATAGCTCAGTTATTATGGACCCAAATCAAATGAAATTTTGCATACTGATTGTACACGATCAGACGCATTGAAAAACACTTCCAATTTTGTTGCCAAGGTAACAATGTCGTTCCCAGGCCCCTTGCGCCAATTTTATAAAACAGCTTTATTCATGGTACTTATAAGAATAAAGTAATATCAGAAGTATGTGTACCATACCTATGCATGCCAAAAGTTTACTTGCATGATAATAATTCTAAAATGACATACAAATAGATAAATGCAACTAGTTATTCAAAATCAGTGTAAGGGGCCTGGGAACGACTGTGTTGCCTTGACAACTAAATTAGAAGTATTTTCCCATGTGTCTCATCATGTACTATCTGTATGCAAAATTTCATTTGATTTGAGCCAATAATAACTGAGCTATGCTTCAGTTTACTATTCAATAAACATACTTACCCAACCAATGACGTCACACGTTGTGCTGAATCAGCAATTTATATTTTGCACATTTTTGCGTATAACTTCAGAACCAGATGAGATAGAATAGAGCAGTAAACGGCCAATCGGCTTATTTTTTCATGTTCTTTCAGATAAAGCAATAAAATTTTTTATTGCCAATGTCCTTTAATGGAAATTTAATTTTTTTCCTGTGTTAGTAGTTAGAGTTTAGTTTGATTTCAAAGTTTGCAGAAAGTCATTGATGAGAATATTTATATGTCTCCTTTAAAATTATAACTCCACATTTCCATCATTAAGGTTGATAAATAGTTGACAAATAGTTGTTATTTGGTAGCTAAAGTAAATGTGGTCTATTTCTGCTCAAATGTTTCTCAGTATATTTCGGTTTTGACGTGGGTATTATTTCCTCCTTGCATTTTATCTCTTGTATTCTTCCTTCCCGTTTTCCTTTATTTCTTGCTACTTACCATGCTTTGCTCCGCCTTATTGCCATTTTTGCAGGAGGTGTGTTGTAGTCTTTTGAAATAATGTTATGATATTCAGTGTTAGAGAATAATTGTTGTTAACTAAGAGCAATATAGTATTATTAAATCAAATAAAAAATGTTTGAAATAATAAATACAGTGTCTACACTCTGCAGTATTTCTTACACTGTCTATCTTAATTTTTTAAATCTTATTTGCCAATCCATTTAACTAGCCTCATGCTGACTCTTTGAAACCTTTAATTTAATACTAACATTGAAATTTCACACAAGAATAGACAGTGTTTTAAATCTTATATAATTACAAACGAGAATTCAAATTTTATGTAGTTACTATCAACTAGAATTACAGTAGTATCAAAGTGGTAAATAAGAAACCAGATGTTAAAGAAATTACTTGCTACTCCCTCATTGATGTTCTAGCAAAATATACATAGCATTTAATAAACATAATATTGTCTATAACTTCTAAACGACATATAAATGAAAATTGTTATCACAAAGTACTACAAATTTGATCAAATTTATGCCACGTGGGATGTATAAGAACTTCTACTTCTACTTCTACTTCTACTTTTCACTTTGTATTGTAGTTTTGATCAGTGCTCCTACTATGTGTACACCAGTCATGTCACACTTTATCGTCATCATGCAAATGTAGGAATGTTGTAGTCTTTGGGAAAACTTTTTTCCAAAAGGCTGTTTCTGATGTTTCTCACAAACGCAGGAAGGCTTGATGTGACTTTGATAAGCCATTCTGGTGCTCTATGGTATTCATCAGAACGAACTGTAATGCCCCAATTCTTTTGAAGGCGATTCCATTCCACCGTAATATGAACCGACTTCCAATGAATGCGCAGAAAATGGAGTGTGTCTGGAATCCAAGCCCCCTGTCCACCAGCACCCATCTCCCGTAAGCAGTCCCAGATAATTGCTTCAAAGCGATCGTATACTTGTTCATCGGTGTTCGCAGTGAAGATAATATTGAAGTGTTCATCTGCAAACTCATTTTTTAGTTGACTGTCAGATCTCCTCGTGACTTTTGAAGGAAATTTGATATTTTCTGCTTCTGTGGAATGACTGCCGTTGTTGCAGTGGCAGTAAATAAGATAGCACAACCTGTCTAACGCTGAGCACAGGTCTGTAACAAGATTTGCCAATCTTGGTTTCACCCGTCCCTTCAGCCCAGTAATGTAAGTATCAAGCGAACCGGGCCCAAGTTTGGCAGCTTGTGTGTTCAGCTCAAGCTGTTCTCTTTCGATTTCGATTTTTTGCAACTTCCCTTGTTGGATCAGATTGTCTATAGCTTCAACTTCATTTCTCACCGTTTCCACGTACTGCGCTAAGCTCCCGGGATCCATGACGTTTGTGAAGAGGTATATATAAAGTATAAAATTTCTATGAGCATAAAATACTGAGCTTTGTCAAAGAGACGCTGTTGCCGATTGATGCTGACTCATTGGCACCTGTTTCAACCGGTTCAAACCACTACCTGATTTGCATTTTAATTTTAAAATGTTTTCTTGTCGGCGTTGTTTCCGTTGGGAACCAAGAAGATTACAAACTGTAATCTTTACTCTGTACTCCAATACTGTTGCTTTGCCCGCGCGGAGTTTGGTGTATAGGCTGTTCGTAACAAGTTGCTAGGAGCTTTTGTTGTCATCAATTTGTTTAACAACCTGTTGCGTGCCGACGATAGCAGACTTGTTGGAACAACTTGCGAGTCTGTTGACCTCATCAATATTGTTACACAAGATGATAACAAATTTTTGCAGACTTGTCAATAACTGGGTAAAGCAGTGGGAACAGTGTGTAGCTGAAGTAGTTCAAATGATGCGCGAAAACTACGAAAGGGCACAACTAGGGCACCACCAATTTTCAAGCTGTACTGCTACAACACATGCTCAAAAACGTTCGCCCGTGCATGCAAAGCGACCTCAATGGAAAATGACATTAAATTGTGAACTGTCCCGAAATTATGTAAATAAGCGTTGGCCAATTTGCACGGAACACCTTTGTGTCCTCGGTGATTTCACTCTCACACTTACCACTCATTTTTTTGCGGCGTTTGACTTCAATTAGCTCAACCAATCAGGTTTTAATAAAACACAAAACAATAGCCACTCCGAAAATTGTAAGAATTAATTAAAAATGTTTACAATTTTCGGAGTGTCTATTGTTTTGTGTTTTATTAAAAAACTCTATGGCAACCGCAATCAGGTTTTTTAAACATGTTTGACTGATGAGATTAAAGCCTGTGAAATAAGCTTGTCAAACATGAAAGTTTTACTTGATAACCGATAAAGGCATTATCATTATGGTGATCGCTAGATAGTATACTTCAAAATAAGGTTTCCGTTTTTATAACGTAGAAAAAACTATCCTAACGCAAAACTAAACTTTAACCCTAATACTAACCCTCACCCTAACCCCAACCTAACCCTAACCTAAACCCTAACCTAACTGTGGGTTCTGTGGTCCAGTCGTCCAACTCAGTTACTACTTCATCTAAACTCGAGTGTACAACTTCGTCAATTGATCAGTTTTCTAATATTCAGCTCCCACACACAAGCGACGAGGTACCAGTGAGCACAGCAGTTAAGACGACTGATTCTTCACAACAAACAGAGTTAGACATTGATTGGTACAAAGGAAAAGAACGAAAGAAACTAGTCGACCAAGAGCAACAAACTGACTGTGCTTTACTCAGTACATTTAACATTGAAACGTCTCTCAGCCTTGTACACATGCAAGACAAGGAGACCCTTACTGACCATCCTGCTTCCCGCCGAGCTCAATCCACCGATACCATTTCATCCTATGGTGACAATCTATCTGACTCGTACGGAACCTCTCCTTGCAGTCCCCTATACGATACTGATTCCCAATACGATATTAATACAGAGGTATTCAATCGTCGGGAGTACGAAAGTCCTGCTGGAGTATTTGACATTTCAATGTCACCACATCATGACGACAGATACCTGAAGAAAGACCAACCTCGTTCCCAGGGTATTTGCTCTGGGAACGAGGTTGAAGAAAGACAGCCCCTACCCGGAGAGAGATACCCAATACCCGGAAGAAAATACTCGACACCCGGAGACCCGGTATTTGGAAGAAGATACCTGGTACCCGGAAGATGTTACCCGATATGAGATTCCTTCTCCAGTGGAAAATTATGAATATGATGGGATGGCTTCTTCTATGCTCGTAAATATCAACGTATGCCTCGCGCTGACCTTGACTGCAATAGTTCAAGTAATTCGAATATCATGCGTCAAAGATTCCCTACCCACCCCTGTCCACCTGTACCCTCACCAATTTACCCTGCAAATCCTAACCATATCCCTGCACCACCCCTGTTTCATCACAGATTCCCCCAACAGTATTTTCAAAGACTTCCCGGAAATACTTCAAATATTTTACCCCATCATTATCATGGTTCCTTCAAGTTCTGAGAAAGAATGGTCATTTGAACAAACGAGACGGGAAATAGTGAACAATAAATCGTGTGGTTTGGGTGTGTGGCATTGTTCGCTTTTGTTGACACATTGTGGGTCCCCTGAGAGCACACTTTGTAAACTCTTATGCAAACATTAATATTTGGCTACCTTGTGTTTTGTGTTGGTGAAGAAGAAAGCGATATTGCTATTGTGTAGTTTGCTTCATGTGATGTTCTTGCCTCTTGGGTCACAGATGTTTTTCTTTACTCCTCGCATAGAATGGTTTTTGAAAATTTACCATGTTTACTACTAGATTTCCTATGCGGTAAATTGGTAAAAAACCATGATGTTTAATATTTACCAATTACCATCAATGGTATTTTCCTGGTCAATACGTCAACATCATGGTTTTTACTAATTTAGCATACGCGGAATCTGTAATAACCAATAATAGTAAGAGTTTATTTTTTGCATTCAAAAATCCATTCATCGAAATTTTATTTTTTCCCTGTGTTAGTAGTTAGAGTTTAGTTTGATTTCAAGGTTTGAGAAAGTCATTGATGAGAATATTATATGGTCTCCTTTAAAATTACTGTACGCTTCTATCCCTTATTTGATAAACATGTTGCAAAATACCTGAATATTTCACTAAATTTCATGTTTATTCTTTTCACTTTATTTTCATTGTTTTGAAGTCAATAATAATGAGTCTCTTTGCCGGACTTATAACTCCACATTTCCATCATAAGGTTGATAAATAGTTGAAAAATAGTTATTGTTTGGTAGCTAAAGTATGGTCTATTTCTGCTCAAATTTTGCTCAGTTTATTTCGGTTTTGACGTGCGGTATTTTTCCCTTCTTGGTTTTTGTCTCTTGTTTCCTTCCTTCCTGTTTTCCTTTATTTCTTGCTACTTACCATCTTTTATTTTGTCCTTTTTGCCATTTTCGCAGGAGGTGTGTTATAGTGTTTTGAAATAATGTTATGATATTGTTAGAGAATAATTGTTGTTAGCTAAGAGCATAAGAGTATATTAAATCAAATAAAACATGTTTGAAATAATAAATACAGTGTCTACACTCTGCAGTGTTTCTTAATTTTTTTATCATAATTTTTTAAATTTTATTTGCCAATCCATTTAACTAGCCTCATGCTGACTCTTTGAAACCTTTAATTTAATACTAACATTGATAATTGACATAAAAGTAGACAATGTATATTAAATCAAATAAAACATGTTTGAAATAATAAATACAGTGTCTTCACTCTGCAGTGTTTCTTAAATTTTTTATCATAATTTTTTAAATCTTATTTGCCAATCCATTTAACTAGCCTCATGCTGACTCTTTGAAACCTTTAATTTAATACTAACATTGAAAATTGACATAAAAGTAGACAATGTTTTAAATCTTATATAATTACAAACGAGAATTCAAATTTTGTATAAATAGACCTCACCGTTTATTCACTTTTCACCCAATGGCCTCGTTTCATGTCAAATACTTACTCATGTTTTGTGCTTAGTAGGGCTGAAAATTACTTTGTTATTGAGCCTAAGAACAGCAAGAAACAAATTCGTCCAGGAAAACATGGGAACATAATCTTTATCTGCCCCTGACGTGCTAAAATAAGTTAACATGGAAACGAGGCCAATGGCTCCAAATGGGAATTACAACTACTGGGAATTACAGAAGTATGAAAGTGGTAAATAACAAATCAGATGTTGAAGAAATTACTCTCTAATCCCTCAGTGATGTTCTAGCAAGATATATACATATAATTTAAATTGTTGTAAAGACACATTTGATCAAATTCAGGCCATTTGCAATGACCAGTGCCTACGTGTACGCCTGCAGCCGCGTCATGTCTCACTTTATTGTCATCAAATGCAGCTGTGGGAAAACCTTCCAAAAGGTTGTTTCTTGTGTGTTTCACAAACGGAAGAAGTTTTGATGCGAATTTGATAAGCGGTTCTGGTTGCATATAGAATTCATCACTATTAGAACGAAATGTAACGGCCCAATTCGCCTGCTGCTGTTTCACCTCAATAACAACCGACTCACCAAGGTTGCACAGACCATGGAGTGTTTTGAGAATCCTGTCCGCCTGTTCATCAACACCAAAGCATCCCAGGATAATTGCTTCAAAACGATCGTAAGCTGACATATCAGTGTTATCAGTGAAGGTAATATTGAAGTGTTCCTGTGCAAACGCCTCTTTTTGTGCATTGTCAGATCTTGTCGGGACTTTTGAAGGGAATTTGACATTTTCTGCTTCTGTGGAATTACTGCCGTTGTTGCAGTGGCGGTAAATAAGACGGCACAACCTGTCTAACGCTGAGCGCAGGTTTGCAGCAAGATTTAGGAATCTTTGTTTCTCTCGTCCCTCCAGAGGTTTCACCTTTCCCTTCAGACCATTTCTGAAAGTCTGAAAAGGCAAACGAGGGTTGACAACTTGTTTGTTCAACATAAAATGTTCCCTTTCAAATGCGATGTTTTGCAACTTCCCTATTTGGATCAGTTTGTCTATAGCTTCAATTTCATGTGTTAAATCCTCCGCCATGACTTCTTTGTCGTTTGTGAAGAGGTGTATAAAGTATAAACTTTCTATGAGCATAAAATACTGAGCTTTGTCAAAGACAAAGAGACGCTGTTGCTGTTTGATACTGACTCATTGGCACCTGTTTCAACCGGTTCAAACCACTACCTGATTTGCATTTTAATTTTAAAATGTTTTCTTGTCGGCGTCGTTGTTGGGAACCAAGAAGATTGCAAACTGTAATCTTTACTCTGTACTCCAATACTGTTGCTTTGCCCGCGCGGAGTTGAGTGTAGGCTGTTCGTAACAAGTTGCTAGGAGCTTTTGTTGTCATCAATTTGTTAACAACCTGTTAAGTGCAGACGATGGCAGACTTGTTGGAACAACTTGCGAGTCTGTTGACCTCATCAATATTGTTACACAAGATGATAACAAATTTTTGCAGACTTTTGTGTAGTTGAAGTAGTTCAAATGATGCGCGAAAACTACGAAAGGGCGCAACTAGGGCACCATCAATTTTCAAGCTGTACTGCTACAACACATGTTCAAAAACGTTCGCTCGTCCTGTGCATGCAAAGCGACCTCAATGGAAAATGACATTAAATTGTGAACTGTCCAGAACTGTAAATAAGCGTTGGCCAATTTGCACGGAACACCTTTGTGTCCTCGGTGATTTCACTCTCACACTTACCACTCATTTTTTTGCGGCGTTTGACTTCAATTAGCTCAACCAATCAGGTTTTAATAAAACACAAAACAATAGCCACTCCGAAAATTGTAAGAATTAATTAAAAATGTTTACAATTTTCGGAGTGTCTATTGTTTTGTGTTTTATTAAAAAACTCTATGGCAACCGCAATCAGGTTTTTTAAACATGTTTGACTGATGAGATTAAAGCCTGTGAAATAAGCTTGTCAAACATGAAAGTTTTACTTGATAACAGATAAAGGCATTATCATTATGGTGATCGCTAGATAGTATACTTCAAAATAAGGTTTCCGTTTTTATAACGTAGAAAAAAACTATCCTAACGCAAAACTAAACCCTAACAACTCACCCTAACCCCAACCTAACCCTAACCTAAATCCTAACCTAACCCTAACTTATTTTAATTATTTTAAAAATTGATATAAAAACGGAAACCTTATTTTGAAGTATACTATCTAGCAATGGACCATTTGCATTATAGACTAAATTTTGATCTAGACAAAAATTTCATCACAGCTTGAAAGAGCATCACAAAATTAGTAATATTCCAAAGTTTCGTTGCGAAATGTTGTAAAATGCGGATAATATAGCCTTGCGAAGTTTTCCGTTTTTCAGTTATTTTGTATCACGCACGGGAAATTGACAGCCCAATCGGGTGTTGGGGCATCAATTTCCCGTTTGTAATACTAAATGACTGAAAATTGCAAATTTCGCAAGGCTATATTAGGCCACTCCAAATTAGACTTTAGTTTCCCGTCCTCCGCCCGCGTCTCCTAGAACTGGCCGCATGATTTGTCCATTATTGCGAAGTTGTTTCCATTATTTGACTTTTGTGACAAACAATTACGAAAAACCACAGTTTTTAAATAATCTATCGTTCAAGAAATACATATTTATGATACAACACGTAAAAATCGAAATAAAATTCTTGAAACTTTTATCAAAGAGCGTGAATTTTTTACCGTTTTCACTACGAACTGCTGAGCTACACACTTCCGTTACAAGTTTTGATTTTTGAACGTCAAAACCGATAAGGTTAATATCCTGGCTTTCATTTCTGCATACAAAAACTCTAAAACATTACGTAAAACGTGACTGAATGGATATTTAAAACGAGTATCTATTTCATGAAATAATGGGCCGTGTTTCATCTTTCAGACACCATAATGGATAATGGAAATGTACCGCCCGCCCGCGTGTAATTTGAAATAAGGGCCGGACGGGAAACTAAAGTCTAATTTGGAGTGGCCTTATCCGCATTTTACAACATTTCGCAACGAAACTTTGGAATATTGCTAATTTTGTGATGCTCTTTCAAGCTGTGATGAAATTTTTGTCTAGATCAAAATTTAGTCTATAATGCAAATGGTCCATTGCCTTATCATTATTAGATGCAAACGTCGGTATCTTTGTTAATCCATTCTCGCCTATAGCTCAGTGGCCGGAGCCCGCAGTGGCAAACCGCTGATACGGAGTAAACAGTAAACATATTTAGTATTACAAACGGGAAATTGATGCCCCAACACCCGATTGGGCTGTCAATTTCCCGTGCGTGATACAAAATAACTGAAAAACGGAAAACTTCGCAAGGCTATATTATCCGCATTTTACAACATTTCGCAACGAAACTTT